CTCTACCTCTACCTCTACCTCTACCTCTACCTCTACCTCCACCTCTTGCATACTTCACCAGTCCTCGCCTCGTCTCCAGCTATCGACCACTATGGTCTTCCATACTTGAGAGGGATGAGCAATCGACCATCAGTGTTAAAAATTATAACCCCGGTTATCCAGACTCTCCCATAGTCACAATGGAGCAAACTACGCCAGAGAAACGTGTCCGGATGGACAAGATGCCTGCTCCGCCTGCCGAAACCAGAAGTCCTCGTCGGAGTAGCCGCGTAAAGAAGAACCCTTCAATCACCCCGAACCGCTTCAACAAGTTCTTCCATCCGAGACTGCAAGACACCAAGAACAAGTCAGTTCGGACCTCTCGAAAAGCTTTGCAGAAGTTGTCCGCAGCAAACCTTAACAGCCGTCTAAAGGGCAACAAAGTCACACTGGCCGCGGACGAAGAGGACGGACCTCCTTCAAAAAGGAGAAGACTGTCCTTCAGCTCCATACCTTCCATTCCCTCTTCGCCGGTCACGAAATCACCTGCCAGCCAAGATAATGCACGGACTACGGGAGCAGGCCTGATAGGTGTGAAGGGCTCTCCCGGCACATGCCTTGGGCTGGACGACGACGACAACGATGATGATGACGATGACGACGAGTATTTGGACGAAGATGAATTAGAATGTCGGCCACGAGTGACTAGGTACAAATCTCTCAGCAGCTCCGCAGGCAACCTGTCTAGGCAATTAGGTGGCAGAGGAATCCTTCGGCAGGCCAACGACAGCAAATTGTGGCAGAATGAGACGGGAAACTTCTATACTCTTCCGGACGACGTCTTCACGAACTCTACCAACACCACACGGGAACGGTCATTGCCCTTCTGCGCGACGAGCTTCCACCAGCAAGAGTCTGTCGCTATCGGGAACGAAGATGGCCAGATCGAGATATACCGAGCGTGGCCACGTGTAGAGGGCTATGATGGCTCTCTCAAGTTCGAGGGTCGAATGATCCCCCACGACAACGCCATTATGGATATGCAGTTCTCGCCGGATGATCATTTCCTCGCTACCGCGTCCGGGGACCAGACCTGCCGAATCATCGACATGAACACTCGTACCGGCACGCATACGCTGGTTGGTCATGTTGGTTCAATCAAAAATGTGCGATGGCAACCTGCTTCGGGCAATAAGATACTGGCGACGTGCTCCCGTGATGGAAGCGTGTGCCTGTGGGATCTACGCTGTGCACAGAACGCCCTGGGATCATTGAAAGTGAAGCCCCTCACGCGCTCACCGCACTTCCTCAATAACAGCAGAGAAGTTGTTCCTCAAACCGAGATTGTCGGTGCGCATACGCCCTGGGACAAAGTCAAGCTGATGAACAGCAAGCGCCCGTCTGCTCCACTATCTTCGAAAGCCGACTTCGCCGTTACAGCCTGCGCATTCATTAGCGAGACTCGTCCGCATATGCTAGCGACGGCTTCCGAGCACAACGCTATCATCAAGCTATGGGACCTGCGGGCGTCGTACAAGCAGCGATCAGGTCGACCTATTCCTGTTTCGGCGACAGCAGAGCCCAAGAGTCACGAGCTTACCCGTCCATTTGGCGTCACGTCCATAGTGATGAGCACAGATGGCGCAAGACTCTACACTCTGTGCCGGGACAATACCATTTATGCTTACTCCACCGCACATCTTGTCCTTGGAGGCTCGCCGGGGATGAACCCATCCTCAACTCAAGCGTTCAAAGCCTCTCGCAGCGCTGGCACAGGCCTTGGTCCCTTGTATGGCTTCCGCCACGAGAAACTGCGACTCGGGTCATTCTACGACAAACTTTCCCTTCGTCCCAAGACAGATGAGAACACGGAACTGCTGGCTGCGGGCACAGGCGAAGATTGCGCCGTCCTCTTCCCCACCGACGAACGATACCTCGCAAAAGCTGCTCGAACGCCTTTCCCTACCACCAGAGCCTCTTCAAGCACATCGAACCACCCCTCCAGGGCTTCTCTCCCACAACGCGCTTCTGCGTCGAAAATGACCACTTCCTTTACCTTGCACAGCAACGACCCAGAGGCCACACATATGTATCACCATGGCACTCCCCTCATCAACGGCCACAGGAAGGAAGTTTCCTGCTGCGCGTGGATCCCAGGCAACGGACAACTCGTCACGATAGCGGACGATTATGTCGCCCGATGCTGGTACGAGGATGACCCCGGAAAAGCACGGGAGCTGAGGTCGAATACAGGACGGGATGTGGCGAGGGCGAAAAGCGGATGGGCGGCCGTTGTGGCAGGGTGGGATGAGGAGGACTAGGTCAGGCAGAGCCTGCTTGGCACGTCATAGGTGTGCCGAGGACCGACGAAGATACGGCGGAAAGGCCAGTGCAGAGCTGTTTGGCTGTGGGGAGACCAGAGCGGCACCCAAAGCGAGCCTTTGTCGACTTCAAAACCGCCAGGCAATGGAACCTCACGTAGTATGTACGGAGTAGGCAGGAGTAAGACTTCTCGTTGCTGCGGCGAAGATGAGAACCAAACAGAAACCCCAAATGAGAGCCCTTGAAGTTCTGGGTCGGGTTTCCCGAACTGGACTCAGCGTCTTTGGATCGAATCATCCTTATTCTGTGCTGTGCTGTGTTCCATGACGACCTTTTGTGCGTGCCGAAGTCTATGCTGTACTCTCTACGACCTATGCAACTGCCAATGCCGAATGCCAACGCCGATGCCAATGCCTACTCCTGTCCCATGGGCCCAACGCAGCAGATAATCATACTCATACAGCTTCGATGCAAATACAATGCAGACCGGCTCAAGGCCCAGTAAAAATCCAACCTGGGTGGGTGAAGCAGATGTCGTGAGTCATGAGCAGAAACTATCGAGTTTCATCCCCCTTAGCATTTTCCTCCCCCTCTCCCTTTGCCTCTCTCCTTTCCCTTGTCGAACAGCGCACCACCACAGCGACGACAGGGACAGCCTTCTTCGCCTGTCGGCTTTAGCGCCGCGCCGCTCCACACGTACATTCCCGGATCGACATCTTCAGATCGGCATTCTCCTGTAGGAGCTTGTAATTCTCCTCCTCGACGCGCATCAGTTCGGCCTTCAAGTGCTCTAGGCTTCGCTGCGGCTCACTGCCCACCTTGATAGGCGGCGATGAAGCTGGATGAGAAAGTCCGAGGGTTTGTCCATGCGGTTCCGTTGGGGATCGCAAACCCGGCGTACCGCTAGGAGCAGTCCGCACGCGCAGTTTCTTGCTGCTTAGCAGTCCACTCATGTTGGGGCCGGGGCTCGCACTCGCGGTTGAACGATTCGTCGTGCTGATGCTGGAGCCTGAGGTCGGCGGTCTTTTGACCGATCCAAAGGAGAGCGCCGATGATGAGGTGAGGGGCCTGTTCTCGTCGTTTCGAGGCTGCATCTGCATGTTATTTGCTTGTTCGGGATCTTGTTCGGCAAGGATGGTCGCGAGGCCCGGTCGAGTGGTCTTCGTGCGCCGGCTGAGACTTCGACCGAGGCTGGGGAAGAGGCGCGGTCCGTCGCGCTCTTTCAGACTTCCCGTCAGAGCGGGGGCTTCTCGGATTGTGCCGTTCGATCTTGTCAGGCCGGAGAGGAGTTTCGAGGGGGAGAGACCCTTCTTTTTTGCTTCATGCTCGATGCGGAGAGAGTCTAGGATTGTTGATGCCGCGGGCTCCATTTCGCAAATTTCGGCAATGATCTTGCGGGCTTTTTCGAGCGTACGGATGGCGACGGTGAAGTTCGAGGGCACATGGGGAAGCATGCTGTCGATGTAAAGGCCATATCGCGAGATTCGTTGCGCTGGCTCCATAAGCAGCGACGGTACTTGTTGGATTGATGTCGTGCCTTCTTTCAGAAATTGGTCGAGGTTCGATGAGACCTGAGAATGCAGGTCGAGGTACTCTCTGTACGGCATGGGGAATTTTGGGAAATGTGCCAGAAGGATCTTGGCAAAGCTGAGCACGCCCATGGGATCTTTAGCATTCTGCAGAAGCTGTGGATTTGACTGAGCCGAGTCCAGGAAAGTTATAGCAGCATCCTCCGAATTGTGCAATGCTGTCTCGATGTCGTCCAGGAATGCAATGTTCAGGTCCCTGATCTGATCCAACAGCGACGGAAATTGAAGCATAGCGTTCATGGCCTTATGGTTGCCTTTACTCGAGAACTTGGAGCTCAGTGACTTGGGTGTTCGCCCTTGGTTTGTAACCAACTCGATCAACTGCTGGAGACGAGTGATGTATCGATCTTCGGTATCCACAAACTCGCACATCTTGAAGCGTAGCGACTCTAACTGTTGAACCGAGTGCTTCGGGTCGGGCGTGCTGCTTGCTTTTCGATGTCCAGGAGAGGATATGGACGGAGTGCGCCTCGATTGTCCACTGGGCATTCTCTTTGACGGCGTGAACGCCTGACCGACACGACTGGTGCCATGATTACTAGGCTCGTGCGGCAAGAACGACGGCCGCGTCTTCCTGATCGATGCTAGAGGCCTTAGGGGGGTCTGGGGGCTCGATGGTCGCTCCTTGGAAAATGGGCGCAGCGCCTCAATGATCTCTTCAGTATTGATAACCCTGCTCATCCGGCAGGTAACTTGAGCTGCATGCGTTTGTCCCCACTTCATGGCTATTCCATGGTGTGCATTCTCTTCATCTATCGCGTTCTTGACTTCGGGTGGGACTTCAGAGAAGTACCTGCAAAGTGCAAAGGCGATGCCCCTGTAGACGTCGTCCCGTTGTTTGTCCTCGGGTAGCTTGTGGACTGCAGAGTAGTAACTGCTATTGGGAGCAACGGAGAAGGCTCCATAGCTTTTGAAGCCGGCCGCGGAGAGAATGGTGGTCCGGATGCGGGATGTCGAAGCTAGTGAGCCAACAGCTTGAACCGGGAAGTAGAAGACGAGTATTCGTGGAAGGTAAGGAGGGTCTTCTGCATAGTATATGGTGGGTGTCTCTCCAGGACTGAGAACGGCCGAGAGGGCGGCCAGGTTGCCTGACTTTGACATGGCGATCGAAGCGAGGTGGAGGGGGAGTTGGAGGTGCCAAATGAAGAATGTATGGGTGGGTCGGTCAAGCTGCAACGGAAGCAGCACGGACAATCATCATCAGTGGCGATATCGCATAACACGACTTAGAAAGCCAATATTCGCTGTCGATGCATAGAAGCGCGTGGCATAATTGTGCTGGGTATGAGAAGCTGCTGGCGTGTCGAGATCTCAGCGAAGCTCCAAAAGTGCGCGTATCTTTATTTACTCTTTACCTGCTTCGGGTTAGCGCTTCCGGCCATATGTTCTTCCGCGCCGGAGGCCGACACGATTGTCTCTGTTCTCCTTCATCCATCCTTCACTCGCGCGTGAGACAGGACCAGTCCACTCCGAGCGGTTCTTGTCGGCCTACTGTGCAGAACGCGCCCGACTCTTCGGTCGGTTACTGGGACTCGGAGGATCGGAAGCTCCAACGGCACCGCGCATTCGGCGTGATGACTTGACACTAGTCGGGAACTGGTACTTGACTTTCCACGGTACCTGTGTTTAGCTCAACATGGCAGCAGACACCTGCCCTATCTACCTAGTAGTGCTCGTACTCGTATGTATCTTTCGCCGACGGGGTTTGTGATTATGGAATGCGCGCAGCGGCTCTCTTCCGAGCAGTATAGAACTGTTCAACTGTGCATAGGTCGCTGATACGCGACAGCCATTCAGGTCGATGCGTGGCCAAGTGTCGTGGAACCCTCGGCCGCACCATGTCGCCGGGTACAGGAAAACCGACCGGCCAGGCTGACCAAATTCATCCGTTCACGCTCCCACAGGCCTCCCTGTGTTACGTCGACAAGTGCTCGAAGCAGCATGGCGAAGCTGCGCCTCTTTACCCCATGCAGCCCTGGATCCTCCACGATCCTCTCACACGAACACGCCACGCCACTAACTCCATGTGTGTCTGCTGTTTGTGCACCTATTTGTTCACCATCCGAGTAACTTCGTCACGACTGCTCCGTCTTGCACGGCAGATGTCTTGACCCGGGTAGAGATTTTACTTCTCCCAGTATGTCGCAGTACTCGGGTTCGGAATTAAGGTCTGTGTCGTCATCGTCAGCACCCGGTACCCCGCTCTCGCCCGCTACCTCGTGTGCTCGTATGGTTCAGCACGGGGCCGGGGGAGGTGAGCCACAAGCCGTTGGCTCACGCCTACCACGGAGCCCTCGTTCCTGAACATGAAATCTCTGCGGTCGCCACCCTGGTTCCGCCCCAGGTCTTGGTAGTGGCATGCGAGTGTTGACTGATCATGCGTATTGTCGCGTCCATAACGTCAAGCTTCGTCGTCGCGAACCACTCCCGGCACGTTTAGCCCTCCACGGCCGCTGAGGAACGCCTTTGACAGGTCCACACAGGGCAAAGGCATCCAAACAGTGCTCGACGATCCTCGTGGACGTGGCAGCTTGGAAATGGAACCTTGCATTGTGTTCCGACTCACCTCAGCCATTCGGCGGAGCGTTTCCAGCGCCGCTCTCATTGGTATAGCACATTCTGCCCTGCCTGGCGAAAGGTCCAACCACCGGGATGTAGTGGGACCTGCATACAAACATACCTCGAGGTCTCTGCTCGTGTTGATTCTAGTCTCGATCTTTGCTTCAACTGTCTTACATCGAGCGAGTATATCTTGATCTCGCCTGTGCCACATATCCAAGCCATCCTCGTGTTGGCATTCTGAGACTCCCCTGGTCGAAGCACTACCATGGCCACCCATACTTCGGCTGGTGTGCCGATCCTTGATATCCGGGAGGATACGTCCAACAGGTCCCTTGTTGAGACATTGAAACAATCGTTGAATCCTCCCCAGGGCGACCCACGCACCTTCCCTACGTTGCTGCTCTACGATGGTACAGAGGTCCTTTGTGTCAATGACAAATACTAAACCATTTCAGAGAAGGGCCTGAAATTGTTCGAGGAGATCACCTACCTGGATGAGTACTACCTCACGAACGCCGAGATTGAGGCCCTCAAGCTGCACGCCGAAGAGATTGTCGCACGAATTCCAGAAGACAGCCGGCTTGTGGAACTCGGCAGTGGGTGAGTATTGCCAGGCTCGTCGACGTCCACCTGATCGGGGGCTGAGGTTGCGTGACCAATAGGAACCTTCGCAAGGTGAACATCCTTCTCGAAGCATTCGAACGAGCCCATAAGCAGGTCGAGTACTTTGCTTTGGATCTCTCACTGTCCGAACTCAAGCGGACCTTCGCTGAGCTGGACATAAGTGCCTTCCGCTATGTCAGCTTCCACGCGTTGCATGGTACTTACGACGATGCCCTGTTGTGGCTGGGACAACACCGGACAGATCGGGCCGCGACATGTGTCATGACAATGGGCTCTTCCTTGGGCAATTTCACCCGTCAGGGCGCGACCGAGTTCCTCGCTTCATTCAAGAAAGCCTTGACAGCATCAGACTTCCTGCTCGTCGGCCTTGATGCGTGCCAGCAACCGGAGCGGGTCTTTTGCGCTTATAATGACTCTCGACGTGTCACCGAGCAGTTCTATCGCAACGGGCTCGTCCATGCCAACAATATCCTTGGATATGAAGCATTCCAGTCAGACGACTGGGCGGTTGAAGGGCTCTACGACGAAAAGTCCAACAAACACCAAGCATCGTACGTCGCGTTGAAGACTATCCACGTCAAGGACTTCACTTTCGAGAAAGGCGAGAAGATCCATCTTGAGGACGCTTTCAAGTATTCCGAGGCTGAAAGCGATGCACTTTGGCATGCTGCAGGCCTCATCCTGCAGATGTCCTATGGCAATGAGGCAAATAATTATCGTAAGCACTGCAACTGCGTGCTTGAATTCGGGTTGACAATCGACTCAGATATCCATCTCCTGTCTCCGTCCAGCATTGACTTCCCCCTCAAGCCAGCAGAGTTTGCGGCGAGTCCCATTCCATCCCAGAACGATTGGAGGCAATTATGGGCCGCATGGGACACCGTGACGAAGTCGATGGTTCCGAGAGATGAGTTGCTCAACAAACCAATCAAACTGAGAAATGACCTGATATTCTATCTCGGCCATATACCCACCTTCGCCGGTACACATCGTACCTCATGGGTGCTCGACTATCGTACTGACAAAACTCTAGACATCCATTATACCAAAGCTACGGCTAGGGAGCCTACCGATCCGGCGTTCTATCGTTCGATCTTTGAACGCGGTGTTGATCCAGGTAGGTGCTCAGCGATGCTCACTATCTCTGTGTGAATATTAAGTTATCTAGACGTGGACAACCCTGAGTTGTGTCACGACCATAGCGAAATTCCAGATGCATGGCCTCCATTGAAAGAGATTCTGAATTATTCTGAACGTGTGAGAGCACGTATAATGGAGAGCACTGCGTCTGGCCTGGCATATTCGGATCGCAAACTCGGCCGGGCGCTATGGTTAGCTTACGAACACGAGGCGATGCATTTAGAGACATTTCTGTACATGCTTTTACAGAGTGAACGAATCCTTCCGCCGCCGGGCCAAGCGCCACCAGACTTCCGAGCGTTGGCGGCGGAAGCCCGCGCACAACGTGTCGAGAACCAGTGGCATCGCGTTCCCGCGAGCGAAGTCAAACTAGGTTTGGATGATCCGGAAAACGATCTGGGACCGGACCGGTACTTTGGCTGGGACAATGAAAGGCCGCCACGCAATGTGACGGTCCACGAGTTCGAGGCTCAGAGTCGCCCTATCAGCAATGGCGAATATGCCCACTTCTTGGAAGTCACCCTCAAGAGCCCCCTTCCGGCTTCGTGGACTACCTTGGACATGACCGACCAGTCCAATGGCACCAATGGTGTCAATGGCCATGGGAAAGATACACTCAAGATGGCCAGTTCCGCTTTCGTTGAAGGCAAGGCCGTCCGAACAGTCTATGGGCTCGTCCCTCTCAAATATGCTCTGGATTGGCCAGTCATGGCCTCCTACGACGAACTGGCCGCGTACGCCGAATGGTCTGGTGGCCGGATCCCAACCTTGGAAGAGGCTCGAAGCCTGTATCAGTATGTCGAGGAGCAGAAGAGTATCCTTCAGAAGGTCCCGAGCAAGTTGATCTCGGCCGTCAACGGGTAAGCCCATATCGTCGTGTGGCCGGGACATGATCTGACCACTCTAGGCATCTTTCGAACGACGGAGTCGAGGAGACACCGCCATCAAGCTCTTTGTCTAACGGCGCCGCCAACGGCAGTGCCACAAACCCCAAGCCAGACCCACACGAGCTCTTCATTGAGCTTGAGCATCGCAACATTGCCTTCCGCCACTGGCATCCAACGCCAGTCACAGGCAACGGCAACCGCCTCTCCGGACAAAGCGATCTTGGAGGTCTCTGGGAATGGACCAGCACACCGTTGGCGCCACATGACGGCTTCAAGGCAATGGATCTGTACCCCGGCTACACAGCCGACTTCTTCGACGGCAAGCACAACGTCTGTCTTGGTGGTAGCTGGGCGACTGTGCCTCGCATCGCGCTGAAGAAGACCTTTGTCAACTGGTACCAGAGGAACTATCCCTATGTATGGTGCACGGCCAGGCTCGTCAGGGATATCGCAGTCTAGGTTGGGGGTGGAATATGGGCTGGGGCTCACCGACACATCGACAGGCCAGTATGCAGCCCGCCGGCATCGGTTTGCTCCAGACCCCCTCCCTCCCTTACTCTCCGACCACTACGAGCCTATGTTGTTTGAGATCTTGGTTGGATCAACACCTTCCCAGTCTGGAACCACGCTGCGGCTCCTTGAGGCGAGAGCAAACTCGGAATGTCCAGTCGGACTTCCAATGGGGGCTTTCCTCGGAATAGTCGTATTGAATGGCGGAGGACCCAAGTCGCTCTTTCTTGCAATACTTGCAACGTCAATCTGATTTCCATAGCTGCCACCCGCTCATTTAGCAGTACATACACAAAGATACTGTTCTCTGCTCATCCTTGCCCATTCTGCAGTCCACTGGCTCTGTCAAGCCATCTCCGCCCACATCCCCAGCCTCGATCGTCTCTGCACTCTGCCCCAGCTGCTGTGTGTGCGGGATTGCACATCGGATCAACTCCACCCAGTTGCAGTTGCCCGACAGCCAGCATCAAGTTTAGCTCATGTACCGCATCCACGGCTTAGCGATTGCAATACTTCCGGTATGCTCTTTGTCCCAAAAATGTCCACGAGAAATCACAACAGACGCCGCAGGAAACCACAGACCTTGGTCCAAAGCGTGACAGATCTTTCGCTTTGTCCTCCGCGTCCTCAGGTGAGTTGAGAGTCCTTCACATTGCGCATTCTGGGACTCAGTCTTTCACATCTCGTCACGTCTGGCTGGTCCGGACTTTCATCACTTTCACTGCCAGATGCCGCGGGTGCACGCTTTCTTCACTCGACATCTTCTGTTTCTCACGCTTCTTTGCCTCACTGCGCTCCCTTTGCCTGATCTGAAACACCGACACTGACAGACATCCCTCCTCGATCCACGTCGTTGTCTTTGCAATCTCTCCTGCACATCGAGAGCCACTGGCAAGCCAGAACAATTCCATCACCTCAGAGAGACCTCCAAGCCCACAGGAGGCAGCAAAGTAGAGACCAGGGCGCACGAGACGCGAGGCAACCATGACCATGGACCCAGCTGCGCCCAACAGCCCCTTCAAGTGGGAGGCGGCATCGGGGCTAGGCAAGTCACCATCATCTGCCATACCCGTGAATCGATACTAACTCTCGGCAGAGCACAGTTGTTACCTCTGTTCCATGAAGATGAGCAATCCCAAAGCCCGCCAGACTTGCTACGGAACCCACAGCATCCCTTGTACTCGCTATCACCAGACCATGCACGCCATCGGGACAAGCCACAACTGCTTCTCATGCATCCAGGCGGACGAGCTACATGAAAACAGACATCGAAGGGTGAGTTGGGAGCGCATCTCGTTGCTGGGGCAACGAGCCGGAAGCGTGAAACAATCACTGACTTGCTGCTGCATGAAAAAGATCGCAGAGCTCCTTGCAGAGTACAAGATCGCAACTGGAACAGGCCCGATCTCGACCAGGACCAGAACTAGGTTGGAGGAACTGCCCGTCAACGTCCCTTATGCTCAGCAAGAAGTCCGTCAATTTGATCTTCTGGATGGCGAGCTCGACGATGAAGGCAATGACGACGCGCAAACTGTCACCGACACCACAGCAAGCACGGCCGATGATAGCGAACGTGCTCTTACTGCTCCTGCCAAGATGACCAAGGCCGAGGTCCGCGCCATGAAGAAAGCTTCCAAGGCCGCAAAATCACAGTCCAAAGCTGCTAAGAACCAGCAGAGGCATGTCATCAATGTCCGGGCTGAAGACGTCTCCTTCGTGGCAAAGGTCTTGCACGGCGACGCTGCGAATGCACAAGGCCCAGCAAGTGCTACACATCCATTGGCCACCGACAAGACCATCGAGGAAGTCATTGCCCGCAACATGGGTTTTTTGTCGAGTATTGACGAGCACAAGAAGGCGTTGCTGTCAAGCATTGCACAGAGGAGAAGGAGTGACCGGGACAGGTGCAAGAGTGCATCTGCTACGAGCAGTGGTGGTTCAAAGAAGCGGAGGTTCAGTGAACGTGTGAATGACGAGAACCCAGCTGATGAAGAGATGGACGATCTGCTTGTCGCTGTGCTGGGTAGGCTGGGGGTAGATGCCGAACATGCCCGGTCTTGTGGCACGTCCCTTGCTGTCCCGGTTGTCAATGGTGGTGCTGCCAGAAAAGACGGAGCGGTTGCCGACAAGGACGTTGTCTGCAGGCCACATCAGGTCACTTCCATCATTGCTAATCTCAAAGGCCTAGTGCGAGATGATTTGGAACGGTTCGAGAACGAGCAGCGCGAGACATGTGTCCGAGCCGGTGGTTTCTGGAGATATGTCGGCAGGCCGGTCTTTGAACGTATGACGCAAATCGCAAAGGAGCTGGACTGGAAGACAGGGATGAAATTGAAGGAAATCAACGGCCATAGGGAACGGGCCGATTGAACCAACCTACCGACAAAGCGCATACCTGAAGAGAGTCAAATATGAAGCCAGCTGAAGTCGAAGATGAAGTTGTTTGAGGGTTGACATGGCAGCCATGTTGAGATGCCTTTGCATTGCAGATGAATGGCAGGGCCACGGCTGATGTGTTTGACTAGCTTTTCCTTTTTCCTGTTTTGATCTCGTTGCTCATGGTCAATGGCGGCTCAGCAGCTGGTTGCAGGCTCCGAACGAGGTCCTAAGAGCGCCAGGGGATGAGATTTGGATAGACTGCTACCATTCAGACACACCCCTTATGTCCACCATGATCGATCTTGACCTCTTCTCCACCAAGCTCTCATTGATAGCCTCCGGTCGTTCTAGCTCTTTATGCCCTAATCCCACGTTCACCCAGACACAGTGTCAAGGGCCCGAACTCATCGCCAATTACCGACACTTTGCCACATCCACTGCACATACACAGAGCAGGTATCCGCAAGAGGGGATATTGTCCCGCCGCTCGCTGTACGTTGTGGATGCTGAAGAGAGCCTGTCTCTCGAAACCCGGCATAATCAGGATATCACGAGAATAGACGTTGACAACGCAGCTCAGGCCGTACATCGTGGATGCTGGAAGACCTGTCTCTCGAAACCCGGTATATTAGGGATATCACGAGAATAGACGTTGACACTAGCCCCGGCGTGTAGCTCCGGCTTGTAGCTCCACCATTCAGATATCGCCTCCTGGGTTCTTGTCGTGTCCTTCGTCGTTGCGATTGTTGGCAGCCTCGGTGTGCGTGGTTTTGTAGCGCCGCCGCTGGATGTGTTCGTCCAGTGTCGTTCAGCCATCGGCCATCAGCCCTCGTTCTGCTCGCCTCTGGTGTAATCTCCATGAGGTTCTCAGGTCGACCGCCTCGCTCTGCGCGCGCTGCAGGCCTGCGATGGGTTCATCGGGCGTCATCCAGTCTTGCTCTGCTTCTTCCCGTACCGTTGATCTCGGCTTTCTAGAGCTCTTCTGAGCAATATTTGTCGTCGCGTCAATTGTCAACAGCTCGGCACAGTGGGGTTGCTTTGCTTTGTTCCACACCGAATCTTTCTCGAAGACGGCCGTCACCCTTTCTCTCTTCCTCCGCTCACCCCGGCTGCCCGCTGATCCTCGAAGCCCAGTATCCGTCCTACCCAGCCCCTCGGTTTCGGGACCGGACACTCCCTCGCCAACTTTGTCTGTTTCTCCAGCATCTCAGCCTCAGCAGCTAACTCTCGAAACAGGGCTGCTTCTTCGTCCAGGTCTTTTTTCTGGCTCAGAGCCTTTTGCGAAGCTCGGGCTCGTTGATGCTGCGTCGCTTTTCGAGCTTCCAGATCGCTATCGGCCGCACCCGACGCGCCAGTCGCTGTCGATGTCGCCTTCCTCCTGATAGGCTTGCCGTCCTCGTCGAATTCTATTCGGCCCGCGTCGGCAGCGTAGCCTGTTCGAGGGCGCGGGCACGGGAAGACATGTGGGATGCCGACGACGATGAAGGAGGCGAGAAGCGTGCCGGCGAAGAGGGTGGACGTTGCTGTGGAGCGGGGGTGCAGGTGCGGTGGCATGGCGGAGCGTGGTCGCGAGAGAGTCAGAAGGGAAAGGGGAAGGATGTTGTGGACGTGCGGTGATATGCTGTGCTGTGTTGTCGCCGTACACAGTACGGGGGTCACCAAGGTCTACAAAAACCACGAGCTTCGAGCTCAATTGAATGCAAAGCACACATTCCAGTCGGATGCGCCGCCGTAGCGGCCGCCAGACCGAGGATTAACCGCGACGCTACGAGACTTGCACACGATTTGCATACCCAAAGTCCATAGTGGCGGGGGGTGCGTCGCTGGACGTTGAATGCCAACTGACGCATCGCTGTGCCTCCCAAATAATAGACGCAATTAAAACGCCCTTGACGACCGTCGCGTTCGTCCAGAGATCACCTCCCGACCGCAGCACGACTCACGCGGTTCTGCTCTCACTTACCCGCCACCATTGACCTGACCTGACCTGACCTGACCTGACCTTCAGCGCTGAGCATTCATCTGCGCACCGCCACTTCGCTTGGACCAAGTCCTCACACATGCGCCGCAGTTGCAGGTAGGGACCTCATCTGCTCTGCTCTGCGGCGATGAGCGACCTCGACAAGTAAGCGCCCCTGCCCCCCATCCGAGTCAAACCTGGGCTACGCAACAGAACTGACAAAGGGGTGCCCAGAGCCATCGCGCAACTGCGCGCCTGCCGCCCGATCCCCGAACCTCAAGTGCGCGAACTCTGCTACAAGGCGCGCGAACTGCTCATCGAAGAAGGCAACGTGGTGACCGTCGACGCACCGGTAACAATATGCGGGGATATACACGGGCAGTTCCACGACTTGATGGAACTGTTTCGCGTGGGTGGCGACGTCCCGGACACGAATTACTTGTTCATGGGCGATTTCGTGGACCGGGGCTTCTACAGTCTGGAGAGTTTCCTGCTATTGCTCTGTTTGAAGGTCAGGTACCCGGACAGGATCACGCTGATTCGGGGGAACCACGAGTCGCGGCAGATCACCACCGTGTACGGCTTCTATGATGAATGTATCCGGAAATACGGCAGCGCAAACGTGTGGCGGTATTGCTGTGAGGTGTTTGATTACCTCGCGCTGGGGGCCTTGATTCTGGGCGCCACGACCGACGTTCCTCCCCCGACAGGCAGCTCGCAGGCCAACGAGAGCAACAGTAACAACAACACGCAATCCACGCTTCCGCCCGAGGACGAGGAGATTGAGTCCGAGGTCCTCAATGCCAACGGCGACGTCGTGTCGAAATCGCTCCGTCGGAGGTTCGAGGGTCTGCCGTTGGCTTCAGAAGCCTCGCAGCAAGCTTCGAATGCGAGTCGGATATCTCCCGCGCCGGACATCGACCCACTAGAGCCGCCTACGTCGTCGATATCCTCGCAAACGTCCTTCAATGGGGCGTCTCAGTCGTTGTTCAACCCGCCCACCTCCTCTACCGGGGCTGTCCTCTGCGTGCACGGTGGTCTCTCGCCCTTGATCGAAACGGTCGACAAAATCCGCTTGATCGATCGCAAGCAGGAAGTTCCGCACGAGGGTGCTATGTGCGACCTCCTGTGGTCTGATCCGGACGAGATCGAGGGCTGGGGACTGAGTCCGCGAGGCGCGGGCTTCCTCTTCGGTGCCGACATTGTCCGGCACTTTAACCACAACAACGACTTGTCGCTGATCGCGCGGGCCCATCAGTTGGTCATGGAAGGATACAAGGAGATGTTCGACAAGACTATCGTGACGGTGTGGAGCGCGCCGAACTACTGCTACAGGTGCGGAAACGTGGCTGCTATCTTGGAGCTCGGCGAGGATGGCTCGAACGGGGGCTGTATACAACGCGCGAACGGCGACCAGGGGAGACGGGAACCCGTCGGTGGAGACGGCAACGGAGGCGGAAGCGGCGTCCTGTGGAATCTGGCCACCCCGGGTCGGAGATATAGAGTGTTTGAAGCGGCGCCGCAAGGCACTCGGGGTATGCCAGCCAAAAAGCCGGTAGGGGAGTACTTCCTGTAACAACATTCTCGACACCTGTCCCATCGTATCTCCAGAGCAGGCCAGGGTTGAGCAGCCAGGGCAGGGCAGGGCAGGGCAGGGCAGGGCAGGGCAGGGCAGGGCAGGGCAGGGCAGGGCAGGGCAAAGCAGCGCCTGCACAGTTTTGGCTGGGCAGTCAGATTCAATTGCAACGGGACATATCATTCGCGGGCATTGGAGTTTGTTCTGGAGTTAGGTCCAGATACCAGCAGGCAGGGACATAGGGACAGTCAAATGATACCCATGGGAAGAGAGATGAGTGAGAGGAGAGGTTTCTCCTGACTTTCAGACTTCACCTCGTCGTTCTTCCTCCTTGCTTGCTTACGCACTCATCGCCCTCGAGTCATGGAAAAATCCAGAGCCACCAATGTTGTTGTGAAACCTTCAAAGTTAGACTTGAAAAGACAAGGGAAGACGGAAATCAACGACGCTGTTGGATACATTTCGACCACCAGAGCAGGCATTAGCGAGACTGGCACTCATCAGCCTTTTTCATAAGCAGCTGAGAGTTTCTTGCACTCGGAAGCGTGGTCGAGATTTTCGCGGTAGACGCTCGACCACACGAATCGGCCACACGAATTCTCTCGTGCGTGATAAGCCAAGTACCGTGTACGGCGGTCACACATGTTGCTGAGCTACATACAGTCCGCGAGATCCAACGGTGCTCGGCCAGTGAGCGACACTGTCATTCTCTGTCACGCCGCGTGCGGGTATCCGCTCTCGTACTTGGACATCGGAATGATGGTAGTCAAGGTCCGCTTCGGCGGTGTTCTCCTCGTCGCCATTTGGGGCTTTGGACTCGTGCTCAATGGCGCTTTTCTCCTTGCTCGCCCATGTTCGGCCGTCTCTATTTGTTTTGACGTCGACGTCGACGTCACCGCTTCATCGGACGACAGAAAGCCGTGACAGGTGACAGAACCTTCTTCTTCTTGATTCAACGTGCTCGAGCCTTTTGTCTCATCGTGGGAAGGTCATTTCCTCTGAAACCGTGCCTTGCATGAATATCCCTCGGGAAAAATTACGACCGGTCGGCATAATCCGCTTCCATGTGCCCAGCGTGCCAGCGAACAAAATAAGCATTACTCGACCAAAACTCCGCTTGCCAATCGCTTATCATGAGCGATCCATTGCAGCGGTCCTGCGGGTACCTCGTACCAGACGGGGCGATGAAGTCACGTTCTAGAAAAAGACTGCGTGCCTCGAACGGGGATAGAAAATACCTCCGTAGGTGCCTCGGTACGTACCATTATTGCCTGGCAGCAAATCCGCAGCAGAGATTGGAGCCAGGGATCTCGTTACTCACAGAAAACGGAAGCCCAGAGGTTGCTTTCGTCGAGAGAATAATACGCATGTTTGCCAGGTACGAGGGCTGTACTGAGGCGTCCGCGGTCGATCGGCGAAGTGTCCCAAGAAGCGTGAAAACAGCGGACTCCTCGATGGTCAATAGAAATTGATTTTGGCTCGCGAAAAACGTCGTGCGTCATTCTGGATGAATAATGCCAAATATAAGAGCTGTGAGAGAGCTGTCATTCCTACGGAGTGAGGGCTGGATGATGTTGCCTAAAAGGGCAGGCCGGGAGCACGCACAAGGGGGACGCAGGGCCTCCGGATCGAGCCAAAAGAAAAGCCCAGGGCATCAGGCAGGGGTCGGAGCGAGAAATGTTAGTGGCCGCGGTGGGTTTGGGCACTGGCTAGGGATGCCTGGAGACTCGTCATCGCCCACGAGTGCATCCCACCCAGCTGGACCGACTCCCGGTTGTGGCCAATGGGCACTGCCGGATATGCTGGGCGACCTTATCTCTCAGCCCAGGGGGTCAGTCAGTCGTGTGCTGCCCTGCTGGACAAAGTGCCTGACACTGACAACATGTTACCAACACAATCATTAGCTAACAACAACCGCTGGAATCCATCTCCTAGTGTCAGGACGGCTGGCTCGTCATGCCACACTTTCCATCTTCACTGTTCTCGTCGTTGTTGTTTTGCTGCCTCAGCTTCAATTGTCTGTTTAGAGGCCTTGACCCGGCTTTGCGAGCCGGCCGGTCGCTCGAACATCCCACGCTCGCTCGAACCAGGCATGCCGCTCGGGCTCCGGCTTCTTTCTTGAGATGCTGAGTTGAAGGTCGAACCTGACATCAGGCGCCTCCTCATCCATCGGTCCTGTCCCAACGCCGCCATGATGATGGTCCCTCGCTCCTTTGGCCACAATCCCTTGGCGCAAAGGCAACAGCAGATTGATTTCACAGAGAAAGAGAAGGACAACTTTGCGAAGAGGAGGGCACGGGACTCTCGTTCTCGGTCACCACCGGCCCAGTCGGCGCTGTCGCAGAGTCTCTCCCAGGAACGCGCCGCTGCTCTTCACAGACCGACTTCCGACCCTGTCAAGATCCCCTCGAGGACGGAACCGCGGGTCCAGCTTAACCCTCGACGACCCGGCCCTTCCTCATTACAGCCCCCGACATCGAGTCCAGTGTTGCGATCGCAGCCTGTCCCGAGGAGGAAACAATCGGCTCAGGATGTCCTTTCCGCAACGACGATTCCCATACGAAGGAAACCCAAGCAGCGACCAAGTCAGCGGTTGCCCAATGTTGACTACGTGGCGGATTTCAGCAAACTTCTGCGCGATGATGTCCAGTCAAGCCATGAGGGGAGTCTGTCGGGGAGTTGGACAAATCCGCAGTTCGAGGGGCTATTTGGCACCATCGACGGCCTGGTGGAGGGACAAATGATAGTGGGCAGTGAAGGTCTCGACGCTGGCATACTATCCGCGCGATCTCTCTCGGCTGAATCCATGCCTTCGCTGTCTTCGGCCGACGACTTCAGCAGTATTTCCCCCGCAACTGTCAGGTCTCCGTCGGATCATCGACTCCGGCAAATGGCGAGTTCCGAAGACTGTAGCAACGAACACCCGCTACTGCCAATGGACGAGGAGGACCACTTCAGCGGAACATCGACACCCGACCTGACCATTTCACCGCCGTCACAACTGAGACGGAGACCGAT